TTTATTACACATCCAAATGAAACTTAAACAAGCACTTAAGCAAGAATTTAATTATTTGTTTTAGGCTCAGATCACAACTAAATATTAAGTAAAATACAATTAAACAATATGAATATACAACTAATAACTTAATATTTTGTATTCGCTACATATTTTATTGCTTAATCTATTTCTTCAAAGCCCTATTATCTTTTAGAGGTCTACGGTACTTTTTGGATATGTCATCAGAAAACACAATATGTAATATCGTTCTTATGTCACTATGACATATAAGGTTCGCTACCGTTAATAGGTGGTGGCGCCTGGGAAGTGGGCGACTCCATCACGGGAGATACCCCATACTGCTCCACTGCTTCACCCTGCGATGACGAACCGATCAACCCCTCCGAAAAAATTAATACAATAAAATAATTTTAAAAATTGTAACGCTAGGATTTTTATTGTATTGTAGGAGCAGTTTACATTCATAAATTCACAAGGACAAACAAACATTCAGATCCTGAACAATTATGTTTTGGCCATACAAATCATTATTCAGTCTAGCGGCGATAGCAACGTCAAAGGTACGAGACATGGCATCTCGACTGACCTCTACTTGCTGATCATGTTGATGTAGAAAGACAGGAACCCTACGATTGAAAGGACTTTTCCGTGTGCGATTCGAATCCGCGGCCTTCAACGCTGCAACTTAATACTAAGCTACTGCGGCACGGATCCAGCAATAAATGATGAATAATTTTGATTTAATGAAAGAAAAGTCGGTTCTTACTAAAAAAAAATTACTAATAGGTACTGATTGAGTCGACGCATTACACATCATGTTAATAAAGTTATGTTGTAGTCATAAGGTTGATAATACAATTTTATTGTATGACACATTTTGTACTAACAGATTAAAAATTAAATAATGTTACTGCAAGCACAATAGAGAGAACAAAATTGACAGTAATAAAATATTACTTTCATAGAAAGATCGCAAAAGGCACTTGGATCTGATACTGGTCTCGAAGGCCAGAGGCCGTTCTATATTTTGTACAAAACAGACGATTCGGAAACTTAGTCCTGTGCAATTAGAGAGGAATTGACAGAAAATATATTATAGGGTTTGTAGCACATTTGCCAGGAGATTTGGAACGTTCGGAAGAAAAATTATTGCGAGAACATATATTACCGTTGCCTATTCTCACGACGCTGTCTTCCATATGTGGGAAAAATTGCTTTATTTAATATCATAAAAATTTAGAAGCAAAGGCACTGCGATAAATACATTCTGGAAAAGTACAATTTAAATACACTGTTTATTTTATAGGTCGAAAAAGGATTTCGATACAAGAATCATAATCTAATGCAAGCAATATTTATTTTATTAAACAAGTATATGTAGTTTTCGATAACCTTTCTTACTGGTAGGCTTAGTTTGGGTGACTTCCCACTAGATGGAGTGTGCACCTGATGAAACATAGCAGAACATTGACGCAGGTGGTTCAGGCTGGCTTTGAGACAATCAATAGGGGAGGCCTGCGTTCGGCTGTGGACATATTTGTAGGCTGTAATGATGGCGATGTTATAGTGTTTTATAAAGACTAATGGCAGTTCCTGAGCTGCCATGAGTCTTTATCTCTCTATCTCTGAGCTTTGTCCATATTAATCTCATGAGATTCTACCATCGCAGTGTGGATTTTAGGCAGGCGGAATGGCGATCGCAGTACCAGACATCCCGTACCTTTGACCTTACTCCACGTAACCTGATAATTATTTATTTTATATATATATATATATATATACATATACATATTATATATATATATATATATATATATACGCCTCAGATGACCCGAGAGGCTGACTGGGATTAGCCCATTCGCAGAGACGACTACAGGAATAATTTCGGTCGGCCGACCACCCCACATGTCGGTCACCTCGTGAGCTAGGTCCAGATATTTTGTTCGCTGATCTGTTTCGGCTTTCACGAGGTTCTCGTCAGACGGAATGGTAATGTGACCAAAAATATCCTTGACTGTGCCCGGTCCATCAGCACATTATCAGGCTTATTCGCAAAAATAGTCCTAGCTGTGATGATGGTCCGATCCCAGTAGAACCTGTCGAGGTCATTTTCGAGCTCGGCTTCCGGCAAGTACTTGTAATACGGCAATTTTCGGTCCACGCGACCGTATTTCAGACCGAGCTCCTGGTGTAGAATTCTGGCTACTAGGTTGTGCCTGTGCAAGTACTCAGAGTTAGAAAGCGCCGAACAACCGGAGATGACATGCCTAAGTGACTCCCCCGGGATGGCGACAAGCTCGACAGACGTCGACGGTGCCATCCTTTAGGATATATCTCCGATAGTTGTTGGTCTTAATAACCTGACCCCGTATTGCACAGACAAAACCCTCGGTTTCCCCGAAGAGGTCACCGAAACGTAGCCAGTTGAGGGAGGCAACCGTATCTACGAAGGGCTCATGTAGAGCCTTGTAGTACCTCTCGTGGAGCTCCTTCTCCTTCCATACGGTCTCCTGGTCGGAAATGCTTAGCACTGCTGGGTCCTGCCATTGCTCGTTGGCTAAGGATATAGGGGTACCCTTTTACACTAGAAATGACGTCATTATAGAATGGATCATCCGATCTCGCCAAGAAGTATTGACGGAGACTGCACACATCGCGATTATGCATGGTGAGCGCGCTCAGAAAGCCACGCCCACCATGCTTTCGCGGCAAGTACAGCCTCATTACCGACGATCTCGGATGATGCATCCTATGGGACGTCATGGTAGTGCGGACTTTTCAGACTATCCAGGGAGTTAAGCTCAGTCTGAGTCCACATGAGTATGCCAAAGGTATACATGAGGACAGGCATGACCCAGCAGTAATATGCGTGTAACTTATTCACACCGAACAAAAGGTTGTTAAGCACTTTGGTCAAGCGTGCATAAAACACGTCGCAAACTGACTGTTTCATACCAGCCTCTTCGATACCGATGTTCTGTGACATACCCAGGTATCGGCATGTTTCAGCCTCAGAAAGGGTTCTTAAGTTGACGGGACCTCAGAGTTAGCAACCCTTACCCTTTCAACATGGAGGACCGCACACTTATCCGTCCCCACCTCCATACCAATGGAACTGCTAAATTCACAATTGATGTTTAGCAGCTCCACAAGATGGGAGCAACTGGAGGCGAATAACTTGAGGTCATCCATATAGAAAAGGTGGTTCACTTTTTTCCCTCCTCTCCGTAGCTGAAATCCCCTCTCCGAGCTCTTCAGTAAGGTACTGAGAGGGTTCAGAGGGAGGCAGAACCAGATTGGACTCAGACTATCGCCCTGGAAGATACCCCTTCTTATCCTTATGTGGTCCTCCGCAGCCATCATCCGCTCGCCCAGATGACAAAGGATCGTACTCCACTGCCCCATACACTGCTCGAGGAAGTCTCTAACTGTACAGTCAATCTTGTACAACTCGAGGACCCTCTTTAGCCATGTATGGGGCACCGAGTCGAACGCCTTTCTGTAGTCTATCCAGGCGGCAGAGAAGTTCCGACGGTTGCGTTTCACCACTTTGCCTATGACCGCGTCAATGAGGAGTGGTTCCTTGGTTTCACGACCACCACCCCGACATCCATTTTGAGCGCGTGACATCACCTAGTTTAGCTCAAGGTGACGAGTGATTCTCGCGCTCAAAATGGATGTCAGTGTCTTAAATATGGTGGGTAGACACGTGATGATGCTGTATTTGCTCGGGTCTGTGGTATCCTGATCTTTAGGAATCAAGTGAGTGATCCCAGTAGTGAAGAAGCTCGGGAGCGACTTCTAGTCGAGAGCCTCTTGAAACTGTTGGGCGAACACAGCGTGACACACTATGAACCCCTTCAGCCAGTTATGATGCAGCCTGTCGAGCCCCGGACTTTGTCAGTTCGGTGCCCTATGGACCGCCTCAGCCACGTCTTCCGGCGTTATGGTGATGGGGTCCATAGGCGTAACGCTCGCACCCTGGCTCGCCACAAATTCCATCCAAGGGCCCTCGTTGTGGTTTAAGGGCTCTGACCACAGGCCACGCCAGAATGCGATAATGTCAGCCTGATCCGGTCCTTGGCCCGCTCCATATACCTTTGGTCGCTCCAATGATTTATAGAGCTTCTTCTGATCACTCTGGAAGAGACGATTCGGGTTGACCGTCTTGACCTCTCGGTAAATCGTCGAATCCGCTTCCCCGAAGCAGCGATCTTTTGCTTCAGGTCGTCTATGCGCTCCGTTAGTTTCTGCGTGATATCCGGCTGGGACAAACTGATATTTGTCCCAGCAAACGCCATCCTAACGGTGCGCATAATCCTCGGTCTACTATTACCCGACCTGAAACTTGTCAGTCTGCCGATAAGGGTCCTTGCCTTTGCGATACGGTTCTCGATTCTTTTTATCCAGGCTGGGATGGCGCTACTTTGTATAGTAGCGCGTCCAGCCATGGGGAGTTTGGCGCCAATAATACGGCAAACTGCCACTGCGGCGCCAAAGAGTATTGAGTCCATCTCGCAAAGGTCCCAGCTGGTTTCCAAATAGGTCACCAGCATTGAATTAAGAGCCTTCACGACAGCCCGATTTCTCTTGCTTAGGGGTATGCGGGGAAGTCGCGGTCAATTTACGAGAGGCATGCTGCGCGTTTCCAAAATTGCTTCTTCCAATATACTCCTCATTTGCTCTGAATCTTAGGAGACTATTTCATCGTCGTCCGAATCAACCACAACTGGAAGATCCATGGCGGCTTCCTCGTGTGGATGCTGGTCTCTCGGATGTGGAGCTGCATCTCCAGCCATAGCCGATTCATTCGACGATGGAATAGTCTCACGTCGTAGTTGTTCGAGTTCGGCATCATCAAATATTTTCGAGCGCATGATGTACCGAACTCGGTCTGCCAGATTTTGTTCCGTGACGGGGATAGAAGGCTCCAGCTCAGCAAAAAGCAATGCATCCGAGCCCTATACGCTATTCCCACAGTTTCTTCCCCTTTCGTCCTATAGTACGCCCGCAATGCGTTTTCGTTCATAGATTTTTCCAACGCTTGCGAGAAGACCCAGCCGACACCAAGCATTCTGGTAGGGATGATGGATGCGAGGGGCTGCTAGGTGATCGTGCATCTCCTTACGCTCGGCTGGCGGCCCGCATGCTGCCGCGTCCAGAGCTGGCGCTGGCCGCCCCGGCAACCCCCAGGCAGCGGCCCTATACGCGTTCCTTTCTGTGCCATCATCCATTTTATGGGCGCCAAATAACAGGAGACGCCCAAGCCCGGCAACGTTTCGTGGTTGACCCAACCAATAGTAATCAATATGCACAAACGGACCTCTGCACCCACAATTTTGCCTAGGCACGGCGCTCACACCTCTTGGCAGGATGCTGACTGACTGCACCGACATAGCAGTTTTGTCACATAACCGTTACGTCAGCGGGCGATGGGGTCGTCACTTCCCTACGCCTAATTAAATATTATTATTATTTGGATTATTAATAGAGTAAACACATCTGGTTGGGCTGGATAATTATATAAAGGGAAAAGTAAATATACTTAAATATATATTTAATATACCAACATAAATAAATAAATAATACATAAATAAATAAAAACCCAACCAGATGGAAGCCCCCGGCGGGCAGACCAAACGGCCGAGGGTTAAGGGGAAAGGGAAAGAAACCGGTGGACGATGCGGGCGGTATCGAGGAGCACCGGCTTCTGCATTTGAGCCCGGAGCGGTGCGTCACGGAGTTCCAGTCGCCTCAGATGGCCCGAGAGGCTGGCTGGGATTAACGCGTTTGGAGACACGACTACAGGAATAATTTCGGTCGGCAGACCACTCCATTTGTCGGTCACCTCGTGAGCCAGGTCCAGATATTTTGATTGCTTGTCTGTTTCGGCTTTCACGAGGTTCTCGTCATACGGAATGGTAATGTCGACCAAAAATATCCTTGACTGTGCCGGTCCATAAGCACATTATCAGGCTTATTCGCAAAAATAATCCTGTCTGTGATGATGTTCCGGTCCCAGTAGAGCCCGGCGCGGTCATTTTCGAGCACGGCTTCCGGCAAGTACTTGTAATACGGCAATTTTCTGTCCACGCGACCGCATTTCAGAGCGAGCTCCTGGTGTAGAATTCTGGCTACTAGATTGTGCCTGTGCTAGTACTCAGAGTTAGAAAGCGCCGAACAACCGGAGATGACACGCCTAAGTTACTCCCCGGGATGGCGACAGGCTCGACAGATGTCGACAGTGCCATCCTTTAGGATATATCTCCGATAGTTGTTGGTCTTAATAACCTGATCTTGTATTGCACAAACAAAACCCTCGGTTTCCCCGAAGAGGTCACCGAAACGTAGCCAGTTGAGGGAGGGGACTGTATCTACAAAGGGCTCATGTAGAGCCCTGTAGTACCTCCCGTGGTGCTCCTTCTCCTTCCATACGATCTCCCGGTCGGAAATGATAAGCACTGCTGGGTCCTGCCATTGCTCGTTGGCTAAGGATAGAGGGTTAAGCCTTTTATCACTAGAAATGACGTCATTATAGAATAGATCATCCGATCTCGCCAGGAAGTAATTACGGAGGCTGCACACTTCGCGATTATGCATGGTGAGCGCGCTCAGAAAACCACGCCCACCATGCTTTCGCGGCAAGTACAGCCTCATTACCGACGATCTCGGATGATGCATCCTATGGGACGTCATGGTAGTGCGGACTTTTCTATCCAGAGCGTTAAGTTCAGTCTGGGTCCACCTGAGTATGCCAAAGGTATACATGAGGACAGGCATGACCCAACCGTTATATACGTGTGTCTTATTCACACCGGACAAAAGGCTGTTAAGCACTTAGGTCAAGCGTGCATAAAACACGTCGCAAACTGACTGTTTCATACCAGCCTCATCGATACCGATGTTCTGTGACATACCCAGGTATCGGCATGTTTCAGCCTCGGAAAGGGTCCTTAAGTTGACGGGCATAGATAAGTCTATGCCCTCAGAGTTAGCAACCCTTCCCCTTTCTACATGGAGGATCGCACACTAATCGTTCCCAGCTCCATTCCAATAGAATTGCTAAATTCACAAGAAGTCATCCATATAGAAAAGGTGGGTCACTTTTGTACCTCCTTTCCGAAGCTGAAATCCCCTCCCGGAGCCTTCTAGTAAAGTACTGAGAGGGTTCAGAGAGAGGCAAAACCATATTGTACTCAGACAATCGCCCTGGAAGATACCCCTTCTTATACTTATGTGGTTCTCCGAAGCCATCATCCGCTCGCCTAGATAGCAAAGGATCGTACTCCATTGCCCCATACACTGCTCGAGGAAGTCTCCAACTGTACAGTCAATTTTGTACAGCTGGAGGACTCTCTTTAGCCATGTATGGGGCACCGAGTCGAATGCCTTTCTGTAGTCTATCCAGGCGGCGGAGAAATTCCGACGGTTGCGTTTCACCACTTTGCCAATGACCGCGTCAATGAGGAGTGGTTCCTTGGTTCCACGACCACCACCCCGACATCCATTTTGAGCGCGTGACATCACCTGATTTATCTCCAGGTGACGAGTGATTCTCGCGCTCAAAATGGATGTCAGTGTCTTATATATGGTGGGTAGACACGTGATAGGGCGGTATTTGCTCAGGTCTGTGGTATCCTGATCTTTTAGGAACCAAATGAGTGATCCCAGTAGTAAAGAGGCTCAGGAGCGACTTCTGATCGAGAGCCTCTTGAAACTGTCGGGCGAGCACAGCGTGACACACTACGAACCCCTTCAGCCAGTAATGATGCAGCCTGTCGAGCCCCGGATTTTTCAGTTCGGGGCCCTACGGGCCGCCTCAACCACGTCTTCAGGCGTTATGGTGACGGGGTCCATAGGCGTAACTCTTGCACTCTGGCTCGCCACAACTTCCATCCAAGGGCCCTTGCTGTGGTTTACGGGCTCTGACCACAGACCACGCCAAAATGTGACAGTGTCAACCTGATCCGGTCCTGGGCCCGCTCCACATACCTCTGGTCACTCCAATGATTTATAGAGCCTCTTCTGATCACTCTCGAAGAGACGATTCTGGTTAAACCGCCTTGACCTCTCGCTATATCGTCGAATTCGCTTCCCCCAAGCATCGATTTTTTTGCTTCAGGTCATCTATGCGCTGCGTTAGTTTTTGCGTAATATCCGGCTGGGACAAACTAAAATTTGTTCCAGCAAACGCCATTCTAACTGTGCGCACAACTCTCGGTCTAATCTTACCCGACCTGAAGCTTGTCAATCTTCCGATAAGGGCCCTTGCCCTTGCGATACGGTCCTCAATTCTTTTTCTCCAGGCTGGGATGGCGCTACTTTTTTGAGTAGCACGTCAAGCCACGGGAAGTTTGGCGCCAATAATATGGCATACTGCCAGTGCGGCGCCAAAAAGAATTGAGTCCGTCTCGCAAAGGTCTCGGCTGGCTTCCAAATAGGTCACCAGCATTGGGTTAAGAGCCCGCATGACAGCCCGATTTCGCTTGCTAAGTGGTATGCGGGGAAGTTGCGGTCGATTTTCGAGAGGCATGCTGCGCGTTTCCAGCATCGACTCTTCCAATATGCTCCTCATTTTCTCTAGTTCGTGGGAGACTATTCCATCATCGTCTGAATTAGCCACAAATGGAATGTTGACGGCAGCATTCACATATGCAGTTTGTTGCGCATCTAGTGACGCCGCATTCCCAGCCGTAGCATTTCCATTTGATGAAGGAATAGCCTCACGTCGTAGTCGTTCGAGTTCGGCGTCACCAAATATGTTGCAGCGCAGGATGTACCGAACTCGGTCTGCCAGGTTTTGCTCAGTGACGGATGATGACGGAGATGGCTTCAGCTCTGCAAAAAAGCGATGCATCCGAGCCCGATACGCCAAACATCCAGTTTCTTCCCCTTTTGCCCTAAAATACGCCCGCAGTGCGTTTGCATTCATTAATTTTGACCAACGCATGCGACGTGCTCCACCAGCGGCGGGTGCCGCTTGCTGAGTCCGAGAAGACCCAGCCGACATCAAGCCTTCTGGTGGGGATGATGGATGTGGGGGGCTGCTAGGTGGTCTTGCTACACCCCGCGCTCGGCTGGCAGCCCGCATTCTGTCGCGTCCAGCGCCAGCTCCAGACGTGCCCTGGCGACCTCCAGGCAGCGGCCCTTTGCGCACTATCTTTTTTTCCATCATCCATTTATTATTATTATTATTATTATTATTATTGAGGTATCTATATAATTTTCTCACCTGGTTGGGTTCTATAAATATATAATTATAAATTAAAATGAAAAGATAAATGTACATAAATATCAATAAAATAAAATAAATACGAAAACTGCATAAATAAATAAGATCCAACCAGATGGGAGCCCTCGGCAGGGGAGACCAGACGGCCGAGGGTTAGGGGAAAAGGGAAAGAAACCGGCGGACGATGCGGGCGGTATCGAGGAGCACCGCCTTCTGCATTTGAGCCCGGAGCGGTCCGTCACGGAGTCCCAGTCGCCTCAGATGACCCGAGAGGCTGACTGGGATTAGCCCATTCGCAGAGAACACTACAGGAATAATTTCGGTCGACACACCACCCCACATGTCGGTCACCTCGTGAGCCAGGTCCAGATATTTTGTTTGTTTATCTGTTTCGGCTTTCACGAGGTTCTCGTCATACGGAATGGTAATGTCGATCAAAAATATCCTTGACTGTGCCCGGTCCATTAGCACAATATCAGGCTTATTCGCAAGAATAGTCCTGTCTGTGATGATGGCCCGGTCCCAGTAGAGCCTGGCGCGGTCATTTTCGAGCACGACTTCCGGCAAGTACTTGTAATACGGCAATATCCGGTCCACGAGACCGTATTTCAGACCGAGCTCCTGGTGTAGAATTCTGGCTACTAGGTTGTGCCTGTGCAAGTACTCAGAGTTAGAAAGCGCCGAACAACCGGAGATGACATGCCTAAGTGACTCCCCGGGATGGCGACAAGCTCGACAGACGCCGACAGTGCCATCCATTAGGATGTATCTCCGATATTTGTTGGTCTTAATAACCTGATCCTGTATTGCACAGACAAAACCCTCGGTTTCCCCGAAGAGGTCACCAAAACGTAGCCAGTTGAGGGAGGCGGCTGTATCTACGTGAGGCTCATGTTGAGGCCTGTAGTACCTCCCATGGAGCTCCTTCTCCTTCCATAAGGTCTCCCGGTCGGAAATGCTCTGTACTGCCGGGTCTTGCCATTGCTCGTTGGCTAAGGATAGAGGGGTAAGTCCTTTATCACTAGAAATGACGTCATTATAGAATGGATCATCCGATCTCGCCAGGAAGTAATGACGGAGGCTGCATACTTCGCGATTATGCATGGTGAGCGCGCTCAGGAAGCCACGCCCACCATGCTTTCGAGGTAAGTACAGCCTCATTACCGACGATCTCGGATGATGCATCCTATGGGACGTCATTGTAGTGCGGACTTTTCTATCCAGGGCGTTAAGTTCAGTCTGACTCCACCTGAGTATGCCAAAGGTATACATGAGGACAGGCATAATCCAACCGTTATATGCATGTGTCTTATTCACACCGGACAAAAGGCTGTTAAGCACTTTCGTCAAGCGTGCATAAAACACGTCGCAAACTGACTGTTTCATACCAGCCTCATCGATACCGATGTTCTGTGACATACTCAGGTATCGGTATGTTTCAGCCTCGGAAAGGGCCCTTAAGTTGACGGGCATAGATGAGTCTATGCCCTCAGAGTTAGCAAACCTTCCCCCTTCAACATGGAGGACCGCACACTCATCCGTCCCCAGCTCCATTCCAATAGAATTGCTAAATTCACAAGTGATGTTTAGCAATTCCATAAGATGGGAGCGACTGGAGGCGAATAATTTGAGGTCATCCATATAGAAAAAGGTGGGTCACTTTTGTACCTCCCTTCCGAAACTGAAATCCTCTCCCGGAGCCCTCCAGTAAAGTACTGAGAGGGTTCAAAGAGAGGCAGAACCAGATTGGACTCAGACAGTCGCCCTGGAATATACCCCTTCTTATCCTTATGCGGCTTTCCGCAAACGTCATCCGCTCGCCCAGATGACAAAGGATCGTACTCCACTGCCCCATACACTGCCTGAGGAAGTCTGGAACTGTACAGTCAATCTTGTACAGCTCGAGGACCCTCTTTAGCCATGTATGTGGCACCGAGTCAAATGCCTTTCTGTAATCTATCCAAGCGGCGGAGAAGTTCCGACGGTTGCGTTTCACCACTTTGCCAATGACCGCGTCAATGAGGAGATGTTCCTTGGTTCCACGACCGCCGCCCCGACATCCATTTTGAGCGCGCGACATCACCTGATTTGAGTCCAGGTGACGAGCGATTCTCGCGCTCAAAATGGATGTTAATGTCTTGTATAAAGTCGACAGACACGTGATGGGGCGGTATTTGCTCAGGTCTGTGGCACCCTGATCTTTAGGAACCAAATGAGTGATCCCAGTAGTGAAGAGGCTTGGGAGCGACTTCTGGTTGAGAGCCTCTTGAAACTGTCGGTCGAGCACAGCGTGACACACCATGAACCCCTTCAGCCAGTAGTGATGCAGCCCGTCAAGCCCCGGACTTTTCCAGTTCGGGGCCCTACGGACCGCCTCAGCTACGTCATCCGGCGTTATGATGACGGGGTCCATGGACGTAATACCCGCACACTGACTCGCCACAACTTCCGTCCAAGGGCCCTCGTTGTGGTTTACGGGCTCTGACCACAGGCTGCGCCAGAATGCGACCGTGTCGGCCTGATTTGGTGCTGGGCCCGTTCCACTTACTATTGGTCGCTCCAATGATTTGTAGAGCCTCTTCTGATCACTCTGGAAGAGACGATTCTGGTTGAACCGTGTCCACCTCTCGGTAAATCGACGAAACCACTTTCCCCAAGCAGCGATTCTTTGCTTCAGGTCGTCTATGCGCTCCGTCAGTTTTTGCGTTATATGCGGCTGGGACAAACTAACATTTGTCCCAGCAAACGCCATCCTGACGGTGCGCACAATCCTTGGCCTGGTATTGCTTGACCTGAAGCATATCAGTCTGCCGATGAGGGCCCTAGCCCTTGCGATACGTTCTTCAATTCTTATTCTCCAGGCTGGGATAGCACTACTTTGTCCAGTAGCATGTCCAGCCGTGGAATGTTTGGCGCCTATAATACGGCAGACTGCCAGTGCGGCGCCCAAAAGAATTGAGTCCGTCTCGCAACACACAATCGTTCCACAATCGCCTCCTCCAATGTTCTCCTCATTTGCTCTAATTCCAGTTCCTGGGCGACTGTTCCGTTATCGTTTGAATCAACCACAACTGGCGTATTCACGGTGGCATCCAAATTTGCCGTTTGCTCAGCAAGTTGTGGCGCCGCATCCTCAGCCGCAGCATTTTCACCCGATGAAGGAACAGCCTCACGTCGTAGCCGTTCGAGTTCGGTGACATCAAATGTATTCGAGCGCATGATGTACCGAACTCGGTCTGCCAGGTTTTGCTCGGTGACGGTTACAGATGGCTCCAGCTCAGCAAAAAGTCGATGCATCCTTGCCCGATACGCAAAACCTCCAGTTTCTCCCCCCTTTCGCCCTAAAATACGCCCGCAATGCGTTGCTGTTCATCTGGGTTGTCCAACGCATGCGGCGTACTCCACCAGTGGCGGGTGCCGATTGCTGGGCCCGCGAAGACCCTGCCGACACCAAGCCAGCTGGTGGGGTTATTATTATTATTATTTTGAACTTTCTCTGAATGCTCTCTGAATATATCTGTTGATAGTTGCATGAAAGAATTTCAACTAGTTTAAGTTTTCAACATGATTGAACTCAAGTTGTTCGCCTCCAGTCGTCGCTCGCATCTAATGGAATTGCTCAAAGTCACTTGTAGCTTTAACAATGTACGTGTCGCTGTCGTAAAGGCGAACTATATTCTAGCATCAGACAAACGTCAAATTATTTATTAACCATCAGATCCTTTACGTTTGAAGTACAAGATAGGTCTTACAACAAGAAAAGTTAGTTTTAGACAGTAGAACGCAATGTGGGACGGATTGGGTCTGATTACAGGATGTCGTCAAATAATCGTATAATATATATAATACATATTTTAGATATTAGAAGAAAAAGTTACAAAATAATAGCCTTTTTAAAACAGTATAATAATTAAATGTATTCGAAATAATAAATATATCTTTAATCCGAAACTGGCAATCGAAAATAAAAACTTCCGAGCTGCAAAATTTTAACTTGTTAAGTATTTTCTGAATCTATATTATCAGTGCCGGCAGAAGTTTATTAGTTGGTGTAAATAGCTACTGGTTGTTTCATTAGAGAACAGGAAATGTCTGAAAATAGTCTACAAAGAAATTAAATCGTCGTGGCTCCAGAGTAAACTAAAAACTATAATTCAAAACAATCTTTATAGACAAAACTTTTAGAATAAAGTCAAAACCTATTTTTACAGAATAGAATAAGGGTGAGAAACCAGCACACATTCCACATGATGGTAAGTGGATGCTGTGGCTCATAGACATCTATAACAAAAAAAATTCAAAACAAAAAAAATAAAAGTGTTTTTGAAAAATCTGGTCTTCTATAAAAATATTGTTATATTATGATATTCTACGTATCAGCTTTATAATAAAATAGTAACTGGGCTGATTAATCGCCAGTTAGATAAATCAGATATGGAAATTAATTAAAGTTGAGAGGACTCATAAAGAAGTTATTATAAACGTAATTAATACTATTGAACAAGATTTCGCCATATCACAAGTATTCCTTGCCGTATAACAATCGTAGCACAAGAAAATGCAATACCAGGTATCATCCCGTGGGTTTTGTAAGAGGCTTCAGGCTACAGCAGGAAATAAAACTGACTTATGAATGACGGGCAGAAGTATATTCGTAATAAAATTCTACTAGTACTAACTAAATAATAAAGAGACTGCGATTGACAATCCGTCTGCCAAGCATGGCGACTATGACAATATATCACTTTTATGAGTGCATGTGTGAGGAAGGCGTGTCCCGGAGTGGACATTTGATAGGCTGTAATTAATGAATAAATGTTTAAAAGAAGATTTGGTTAAAAACAAACTTTTTAATGATCATTTTCAAAAGACAATTTGATACACATTCAAAAACACTTTCTAACATTATCAGTAGCTTTCAGCTACTCGAGACATAATTTAAACTGCGAGTTTGTTCGCAAACTCAGAACTAATTATCTCTAGCTTTCTTCTGTTCTTTTAAATGATCTAGAGCTCTTTGCGGATGTTAATTTTTCTAGAACGAGATCGAGCCAGCCATATGGGTTTCCATGAGTGACCGAGCCACGGTTACTAAGACTCCCCGCCAGGATAAGACGCAGGAAATTCATTCATACTCATTTACGCAAGCAACCTATTTTCTATCTATCAATGAAATTGTGAGTTTTAAATGCTGATTTACCACGCTCTCGTGTAGTGAAGAAAACCATCACAAGAAAGAAGTATTGTGAAGTCACAGACACACACCGAAGCAGCGTGACGTTCTAATAGCTTTATAAACTTTTAAAGATGTGTGAAAATTAAAATGTGTGGGATCTGTGCGCAGCAGTGTGAAGTATATAGGATGTAAATTTAGCTTATGATAAATTATTAATATTGGATATATTTGTGTATTAATGATTTTTGCCTTAATTATTTATACCTTGTTTTACCTTCATTATTTGTAGAATAAAGTGTCACAGTATAATGCGTGTAATACAAAAAGTCTTTGTAATAACTATCAATACAGTGCGAATTCAACAAGCGTATGAAATAAAATAGAACATCTTTCAAATATAAAACAATAACTTGGAAATTATACACTTATTGTTTACACATGAATTTACTACTTACGATGAAACACGCAGGCATCGTGTAATTTACACTCCGCCTGGGAAATTCGTCGCTGTCTTTACACCGCTTCCGTTGTCATGTATCTGTCGCAGCAGACTGTCGTACTTGTGAAATTTATTTGTTATTCAATAAATATTACTCGGTCACATAGATTTAATTTAAAATAAAAGTTTATTACCTAATTTATATTAATTTAAACTAAAAGTTTATTATCTAATTTGAATTAATATTACAGATAAGTGTCGCTATTTAGCATAGAAACCAAGCCAGCGTTCTTGGCACTATACCGCGAGGAGTAGGAATGTATGATAATTTAAGTTTCTAGCTTTATTTTCTTTTAATTATGGTTAAAACATTGTAGATTTTAATGTTATGTAATTTTTATTAGATATAACTTAATAACACTCATCATAATAATTACAGCCCTTCAGAGGTCGCTGATGAACTAGGCGCCACAAAACACGGTCCTAAGACACCTGCATCCATCGACTTGCTGCCTGTTTTTACAGGTTGTCAATCCGTCTAGTGTACAGTCAGTGAATGTTCCCAGTGATGTCAAAACTGAGTTGTTATTTTACACTGGTGTTCTGTGGGAGCGTGGTCCTTCCCGGTCAAGTTAATTTGGATAGTTCAGTCTGCAGCTGTACAATAATCGCGCCAAAAGCGAGCAATAGATTTTTTGAAAAACAAAATGAAATTGCTTCTAGATTTGCTAGACAGCGCGTCAGAATAAGATTTAGATTTAAATTTTGTTGTACGTGTTGCGTTAGCATTAATCACTAATAGGCGAGTAATTTGAACAGATCGTCACAAAAAGCTTAAAAAAACCGAGGCAAATTTAATCGCGTTTTTCCGCGACCACCTGTATTTAACTGCAGGTAAAATTTAAAGCTATATTTGTATCTGCAGATATTATCTGTAATTATATTTGTATGAGCAGATAATGTTGTCGCTATCTTTCGATATATGTCGGTGCTTACAGATACTAGACGATAAAATATAAATTGTCTACGCTGTGTGTGTTAGTTCAATGAGTTTTATAGAGAACGATATTGAAAGATATGCGCTCAGATACAGATATCTTATCTTATCTGCGTAGTGTGTACGCTTTACGAGCGCACTGGAATTAGAGGTCATACCGGTATAGCGTTTGCACTGGCGCTACTTGCCCTTATAAAGTCAGCAAGCATAAAATATCGGTATTAAGGAAGTACCGGAAACTGGACTGCACCATCGACATCCAGCCTGAGCAGCCTGAGCCTGAGCCTGATTTTCTTGCTCCATCATCAAACGGCCTTTTCCTTATTTATATTAAAACACAACAAGATACGTATCATACGATTTAGTAGACGGTTCTATCCCCTATGGCAGCGTTCATTTCTCACTTGTAAACTAATTTAACATTGAATATTATGTTATATCTAGAGTAACGTTATTCAAATATATGCGTACACTATCACTTTTAAGCGAATAAACAAGACAAGATTGGGCTGAATCTCCCGTGAGTTATATTCACTTAGTATGCAAATACGAGTACGAACATAACTTGATTTGTTGGGACCGTGAGGGCACTGATTAAAATAAGTTTACTTCGGCCCGCACGAAGGTATTTATTTTACGTTCATACATTCTGATTCTACCTTAAATGTTACATTAACAACCAATATTTATACAGTTGTTCTCGTATTCAGATATCAAAGAAGTATTTTTTATAGAATTAGGACAACAAGCGAGCTCACAATCCATCCGATGCTAAGTGGATGATGTGGCTACATTTTTTCTCAATTAAGAATCAAAATTCGGATACGTTGTCACTCCTGATGAGTAAGATGTAATGCCTCGTTGCCAGTAAAAAAGATTCTTTGATTCACTACACTCACTATACGAGACACGGAAACATTAAGCTGCTATTTTACGCTGGTATTCTGTGGTCCTACCCCGGTCAAGTCGACCTGTTCGTGCTACAACCATAATATAGCTGCAGCTTGGCTCTACCATGTATATAATGAGGGTTTGCCTTAATCATCACGTTTGGCAGGTGGCTTGAAGATCGCAGTACTAGATGCGAGCACTGTTGACGTCGCTGCCCGTCGCTGGTCTGCCTTATGGGAGTAGGTACTAGGAATTATAATCAATTCATATTCATTTTTATAGGATATTGAGCATACTGAGACTTATACAAAATTGGCCCAAAATATCGTAAACTTTGACCCGATATCTCATATTTTAAGGGGGAAATATTAAAAATACTACCTCAAATGGCTTAACAAGATCCTCCGTTATGCAGAAAATATTGCAGCATTAATTTTGAAATAAATATATGGTAAAGTTGAGGATTAATGTTAAGTACTATGTTAGGCGAAAACACGATTCCGTAAAATTGTCTCGATAGAAAAAAATCCAAATTTACCTCCAAATTAAATAATAAGCCGCTGGTATTCACAAAATACTTTAAATTAGGTCATGAAACTTTGCATACTAACTGAGCAACTATAAAGCAGGGCTTATGTTTTTTTATTTTTTTTTTTAAATTACCATAATTTTCACTGTAAAAAAGAAATTACCTAAACTATCGTCATCTTGAAGCTTGTTTCCTGCCACCCGATAAGTCTCGCTTCGGCTTTTGTACGGGAAGGTTGTGTCACTTACGATCAGAATATGCAACA